TGTGTTATACAGGCAATGTGCTTAGAGAATCACAGGATGTTTTATACAGGCAATGTGCTTAGAGGATTACAAGATGTGTTATACAGGCAATGTGCTTAGAGGATCACAGGATGTTTTATACAGGCTCTGTGCTTAGAGGATCACAGGATGTGTTATCCAGGCTCTGTGTTTAGAGGATCACAGGATGTGTTATACAGGCTCTGTGTTTAGAGGATCACAGGATTTTTTATACAGGCTCTGTGCTTAGAGGATAACAGGATTTTTTATACAGGCTCTGTGCTTAGAGGATCACAGGATGTGTTATACAGGCTCCTTGTTTAGAGGATCACAGGATGTGTTATATAGGCTCTGTGCTTAGAGGATCACAGGATGTGTTATACAGGCTCTGTGCTTAGAGGATAACAGGATTTTTTATACAGGCTCTGTGCTTAGAGGATAACAGGATTTTTTATACAGGCTCTGTGCTTAGAGGATAAAAGGATGTGTTATAAGGCTCTGTGCTTAGAGGATCACAGGATGTGTTATACAGGCTCCTTGTTTAGAGGATCACAGGATGTGTTATATAGGCTCTGTGCTTAGAGGATCACAGGATGTGTTATACAGGCTCTGTGCTTAGAGGATAACAGGATTTTTTATACAGGCTCTGTGCTTAGAGGATAACAGAATGTTTTATACAGGCTCTGTGCTTAGAGGATCACAGGATGTGTTATAAGGCTCTGTGCTTAGAGGATCACAGGATGTGTTATACAGGCTCTGTGCTTAGAGGATTACAGGATGTGTTATACAGTCTCTGTGCTTAGAGGATCACAGGATCCTTTATACAGGCTCTGTGCTTAGAGGATTACAGGATGTGTTATACAGGCTCTGTGCTTAGAGGATCACAGGATGTGTTATACAGGCTTTGTGCTTAGAGGATTACAGGATGTGTTATACAGGCTCTGTGCTTAGAGTATCACAGGATGTGTTATACAGGCTCTGTGCTTAGAGGATTACATAATATTAAGCCACAGTAGTTTCTGCTGGCACGGGCGAAACACGGCGGACAAATTACTGAGCAGGATATAGACAGATCGCTGCCGATTGGCAGATCGCTGCCCATTCTCCACACGGATAGTCATCATCATCATCATAGGGATCCATTCGTGCTGTTATATGTCACTTAGGACTCGCAGGCTACTTCAACTCCCGTCTTTCCTTTGCAGTCAATTCGACATCATGGATGGGATATAGTCCAGCATCTTTGGCCTCACTCAGAAACGTTCGTCTTAGTTTTTTTTTTTTTTTTTTAATATCCTTGTTTCTTCAATGCATTTGTTGTTGTTGACACTTATGACAGACACTTGATGTATGTAATGAGCTTGTATGCTATACGGTTGGCTGGGACTTCAGTCTATATCAGTCAAATCCCCGTGGACAGGATTCTGTGAGCTTTTTGTTGGCACCGGAACGAGCAGTTACCAGGTAACCTGGAGCAGTTACCGGGTGGCCTGTTTGCATGGAAGTTGCAACTGATTTTTGTTTCCGTATAACTGTTGATACAAGCAGCTGAATAGTCGCCTCTCATATTTCAGCTGAAGGGGCGCCTCTCATATTTCTTTGCTTCTCTTTAATGTTTTCTATTTTGTGTGTATCTGTTTTTCCCAAGAATTAGTTTTCAACTGCATTTAACTATGGTTCTGTGTTGTAAGCGGTTCTCCTACATTCAATGGTAATATTAAATTTGCGCTAGAATTACAAATACCTGAATCAGTTTTAAAATAGATAATTTCGAGTCAAATATTGTGTTGAGGTTCCTGTAAGTTATTGATGCCTTGACTCTGCCTTTGATTATTGATTTCTTTGCGACGGATAACCGATGAACACACCATGACCTAGCACATGACCGCTGACCCAACTCGTTGACAAGAATGACTGCGAGTGATGGTGACGGTAAAACTAACACAATAGTTAGCATTTTATATACACCTCTTGTGTGGCTGTTGGCACATTTCCGTGTTGCCAGATGATAGTGTTATACTGTGCTATAGGCAGGCATGGCACTCACAGTCCATGGCGAAGGTGAACATGACTAACCAGACCTGCTTGCCTTAAGAAAGGTCTTCCACAGTCAGAGCTTGTGATGTCAGGACCAATGTTTCCATAACATCAATTAAATGTGTTTTCCCATTCGCATCAGTTCAGTTGAGCACACAGTTGCAAAAACTCACGCTGTTGACGCTGACGTTCCCTTATGACACTGTAAACAAAATTTTTTAGATAACATCACAATCAAATTTACTTCCAAGCTGATACAAATACTCAATCTGGTTGAAAAACTATATTTTTCGGACAGTACAATAAGTTCAAAATACATATAGTCGCTCAACAAATACTTTTAAACTGAAATTTGATGTAAGGATAAAGGGACCGCTTAACTTTCGTACACAATTGGGGAGGGGTTAGCTCCCTCCCACTCTCCGCAAACTCAACTGTAGGGATTCTGTTAGTTTATTCATTCGGCCTTCCGTGCAGGAAACTGAATGAATGTGTGTAGTTTATTCATTCGTCCTTCCGTGCAGGAAACTGAATCAATGTGTGTAGTTTATTCATTCGTCCTTTCGTGCAGGAATCTGAATCAATGTGTGTAGTTTATTCATTCGTCCTTCCGTGCAGGAAACTGAATCAATGTGTGTAGTTTATTCATTCGTCCTTCCGTGCAGGAAACTGAATTAATGTGTGTAATTTATTCATTCGTCCTTCCGTGCAGGAAACTGAATCAATGTGTGTAGTTTATTCATTCGTCCTTCCGTGCAGGAAACTGAATGAATGTGTGTAGTTCATTTCCAGCTGCTTTTGTTGTTCTCTGTACTTATTCTCAGATCAAACGTACAGATATGGCGTTAACCATTTCTAAAAGCCACTTACACTGTGGGTGGCTTGTTGACGACATGGACGGACAGAATTGAACGTTCTACTGATGGGGGACCGAGCAGTTATAATGTCCTGTCTCAGGAAACTCTGATTTTTAAGGTGATGGAGATACGAAGAAACTCATAGACGGCGCTGAAGGCCACTCAGATTGTAATATTTTGAGGAGATGGACGGAGAAAATCGAACAGCTAAATATGAGATCTTTCTGAAAGCCACTAAAACTGTAACAAGATTGACAGAGAATCGGACACTTTACTGAAAGACATCAAATTAGGCCACTAGAATTGTAACGAAACCGAGAACTGGACATTTTACTGAAAGACATCAAATGAAGCCATTAGAACTGTAAGAAGAGAAACAGACATGATCTGACAGCTGGGCGCTGCCTTAGAGTAGCAGCTAGATACTCGTCTGTGCATCTGTAGATCGGGATTCAAACCCAGACAGACTTGGGTTTTTCTTTAAAATGACCTTGATTCCCAGCTTGACTCAGCCTCAAATGGGTAAAGGGTAAATTTCTGGGAAGTAAATGCGCTCGGCGTGATGCTCACCACGTGACCCACCGAGTGCAGATTGGTCTAAAATATACGTCTAACCCTATATGCCCCTGAACGCGGGGAAAGGGACTTTTGATTACTAATGTGTTTGTTCCTTGTAGGACATCTATGAAGGCCACCTATCATAGCTATTACAGAGATCAACCAAGAGGATGGAATGTTTCACCAAAGTTAGGGCTCTACCGAATAGATGATTATCACTATTCGGCCAAATAACTGGACCAATTATTCGGCCGAATACGAATAACGGGATCAACTATTTGGCCGAATACGAATACGAACACAAATAGTGTATAGTGTATTAAATAGATCGCAACAAATAAAATAAAATAACAATCATAATGTCAAATGTATGCTGAACTTTTACTTCACAAAATGTAGTACGTAATAGTCTTCTTTTTCTTCTTCTTCTTCTTCTTCTTTTTCTTCTTCTTCTTCTTCAGCATTCCGAGCCGTTGAGGTTCATTGCTGCAGATTTCACTCTCCTTTATTCATCTCTCTGGTTGGTCTTCTTTTTCCAGTTGGGGACACCAATTGTTTGCAGGTCACGTCTGTCTGGACATTATCTCTCCATCGTCTGCCTCCTGGTCTACGACCATTCAGCTCCACTGTGTATACAGTTTTTACTTCTCTGTCATCTGACACTTTTTTAATATGCCACAACTATTTCAGTCTATAAGCTGTCACGATACCAGTGATCAGTGGTGATTTAAACAGATTATGAATTTTGTTGTTGCTTCTCACTTTTCATTCCCCGCTGTTTGCATCGTTAATGGGTCCAAAGATTCGTCGTAAAACTGTTTTTGAAAACCTGTAGTGAGGTTTCATCTCTTTTAGTTGTGCTCCAAGTTTCAGAGCCACATAAAATGACTGGTCTTATCAACGTTTTATAAATTCTGATCTTGATGATGCAAGACAGACACTTTGACTTTATTAGATGTTGAAGGGCATAGTATACTTCGTTTCCAGATTGTATTCTAGATTGTATTTCTTCTCTCGGCATGTTGGAGCAGTTGAAATATACGTTTCCGTTCGTTTGATTTTCATATTATCAACTTGGATGTGGTCGGAGTTTTGATTCTTTCCCTGCTAGTTAGTATTCGTACAGAATAGTAAACATTTAAAAACATTTTATGTTTTTCATCCTTCAGCCAGTCTGTGGTAACTAATAACTAGAAATTAAAGTATTCTAAGTTTTATAACAAGTAACTAAACTTGAAAATGATCACTGACAGCCTAGTGAATGCATGAAAGCTGCATAAGCTTTCAACAAAACCAATCGTTCCATGTTGTCAGCATTAAGGCCGTGTATGCAGAAGCGGGTGCAAGGTAACCACTATTCGTATTCGCCCGATCTCAAGTATTCGGCCGAATACCGAATTTATATTAGGTCCACTATTCGGCCCCGACGCGAATACAAAGCAAATATTGGGTACAGCTCTAACCAAAATACTTATCTAAAGGCCACTTGGACTGTGACATGCTGACGTGGTGGTTGAAGAGAAGTTCTGTCCCAGTTAAACAATATATAAGTCAGCATGTTTGATTGTTTCTGCCTGCAGTGTGTCATGAATACCCTGAGTGTAGACCAGTGTTTCTTCTATGACAAGCGAGTAGTCATCCGGATAGACTTTGATGTGCCCATACACGATGGAAAGATTGTCAGTGATAAAAAGATACGTGATGCACTTCCCACAATCCTGCATGTCCTCAATCAAGGTGCCAAATCTGCGGTGCTGATCAGCCATCTTGATTGCCCAAATGGACAACCAGTGGCTCAGTATTCTCTTGAGCCTGTGGCTATAAAACTGGAAAGACTGTTGGATCATCAGGTGATATTCCTTGATGACTGTGTTGGGGAGCAGGTAGAGATCAAGTGCGCTGATCCCTCTCCTGGTTCTGTTTTCCTGCTGGAAAACCTGAGATTCCATCACGAGGAAGTTGGCTCACACATCGACTCCTTGGGCAAGAGGACGCTGGCCAGTCTAGAGGCAGTACGGGTGTTTAGGTAAGTGAGCACAAGGTCAAATCTTCTTAACTCTTTCAGTACTGGGGATCTTACCAGACATGTATTAGTCGCTCAGTGCACAGTACACTCTACTTAATCTCCCGTTTCCCCCTATATTGTATTATATTACGTAGTTTTATCACAAATGGTAATTTTAACTTTTTTTTTGGTTTGTTCCACATATGTATTAAATAACTTAATACAACAGATCACAGTTATGTTTATTAATAAAAATGTTAATTTTCCGAGTTTGTTAACTATACACTCGGAAACTACTCAACCGATTGCTTTCAAATTTTCACACAACGTTGCATTTGACTCAAAGCGTTATTTTTTGTCAGAAAATCGCCCAAATCACGAACGACGTAGCTCCAGCAACGGTCAAACCATTATTTTTTTCGGTTGGGACGTTGTGTTGTGGTTTACAGCTAGGCTGCGATATCTGACCTACAGTCTTCAGTCTTCGGTAGTAGAGCTGTAAGAATTCAGCCCTTCACGTGGATGACCGATGTTCGATTTCCCGCTGGGTTCTAATTTTTTTTTTCCTCTAAAGGTGCGGTTGACACGTTGTGTCGTGGTTTACAGCTATGTTGTAATATCTGCGCCTTACGCCCAAAGACATCCAATTTCAGTAAAGTCCAAATTAGCCTACCCCGATCAAAAACTATTCGTTGATGACAGAAACTGTTAACTAAAACGACTTACAGTCCAATTTAGTTTGGGTGGACACGAATGCCAAGGTCAGTTTAAAATCGTTCCTTCGGAAAGGGAAAGATGACGGGTGAGGGGGATTTTTCTCCGCTATTCGTGAGTATAGTGTACTTTTTACTGTGGGTTCCATCACTGGTGAGGTGATGAAGTTTTTCTCTCCCCCCCCCCCCCCCCCCTGTGTCGGGGGCAAAATTAAACTAAATAGACCGTGTCGACAGCATGCGGCGCTAACTCCTCTTTTCTACACCGACCTACACAGACTGTAGTGACAGTTGTTGTTGTTGTTGTGATGGTGGTGGTGGCAGTAGTTGCAGTATTACTGGTACTGGATGGGTGATGTGGTAGCTGTTACACTGGCCAATTTACTTCTCTGTACAAGTTAGTGCTACCTATTTAAGTCTGGGTGGACACGAATGCCAAGCTCAATTTAGTTACAATATTTCGTCACATGGTGACTTTCCCATCCTTCGGAGAGGATGATATGATTAGGGAGGGGGGGGGGGGGGGTGTTATGCCAGACACAGTTAGCTGAGAGAGCTTACAATATTATTGTTAAGCTCTCATTTCTCAACTATTTCTTTTTTAATAATTTCGCCAGGTGATAATTTTTCAATCCTTCAGAGATGGAGATATGACTGGGTCGAGGGAAGAGGAGGGGTGGTGGTGGTGGTGGTGGTGGGGGGGGGGGGATATAACAGACACTGTTAGCTGAAAGCTATTTTCTATCCTCTCCGTCGTAGAGCATTTCCCTGTGTGGGTTCCGGGTTCCCATTTTGATGAGAACAAGAGTAGACACATTGGCTCCCTAACAAGCATGTCGTACGAGTCGACTAATGAAGGGCTCCTTTGAACTCGGAGTGCAATTGTATGAGAAGCAACGAACCAGTATTCTGCACACAAATAAGCTAGAACTGATGTACACCTAAAGCAAGACTCAAGTCTACAAGTAGCAAAACAACCCAGAACATTCCGCTGGAGAATACCGACGACGAATGCGAAGGTCACAATGTCTGTCCACAACCTTGTTGTCACGTGTTCAGCTGAGGTGGTTGCATGTCTTCTCCAGGTGTTTGAAAACCAACCAGCATTTATTGTCTGCTGTGGTTTTATCAAATATGGCACGTAATCTGGTAATCTGGTAATCCTAGTTTCAGCTTCATAGCAAACGGGTCACCACATAGTTGCTCCGCTCCTGTGCCAACGAAAAACACACGTAGCTCACAGTGTCACGCCATGCACTCAACTCAGAAGCTGGGCGACGAGACTATATCATTCCAGTCTACAAATGGAACAAAAATGCAACGGCCACCGTCTAGCAGGGGGGGGGGGGAGGTGGCCGTGCCTAGCGTCCATTTTGACCTGAAGCATTATATGAGGGTTAATAAACGGTCACCCCAGCAGTACCCTGATTATTAGCTGGGGAAGGGATTTAGGACATTACATCGACCAGCAAGCGTCGCCCCTACAACGACCTGCCTGCCTTCGTTGACGACTGTTCACCCAACAGCCATTCAGTTCTTTGGCACGAAAGAGACACCTTGAACTTGGGTTTCGGAATGCCGACTCTCTACTAAGATGATATTTTATGTTTTGTCATCACACTTGATGTCACTGCACATTGGACACACCCATGCGTGCTCAGTTCTCCGAAGCAGCAGCCACTCCAAAGTACTTCAACTAATTGTCCCCATGAGAAGCTGGTTATATCGTCTCTTTTCTCGGCCCCGAAGACAGCAAAGACGTGCATCACCATGCTTAACTCCCATGTCACGCAATCGTGTTAGTGTCAGGGATTCCTCATTCTCCACTAGCCTAGTTCGTACAGCGTTGACGATATCTGCTTTGTCCATGCTTTTTCCCGCAATCATTGGTGCAGTGCTTGCCAGTTGGTCCGCTCGCTCATTTCCCTTTACGCCCGCATGACCCGGTGTGTAGATCCAAGTTACGGAGGTTAAGTGCGATTTCCGAATGCTTTCAGAGCGCAGACTTCCTGTTGCTTTCTTCTGAAGCATATTCATTGAGTCTGAGACAATTACTACCTGTGTGGCGGTTTGCTCAGATACCCATGCTAAAGCTCTAGAAGCAGCGGCTATTTCCATTGTCATGCTTGACGTATGTATGTGACGTAATGGAGATAGGAGTGGGGGGGGGGGGGGGGGGGGGGTCTGTGCCGAAGTTGTCAAGCCATTTGCCCCGCACTCTGGAGAGCCATTTTTTACGGAAATCTATGGAAATCGTCGCTGAAGATATGTAGTTCATGCTTTGTTCGACACACCAGAAAGAAACCGAGTCACACGGTATATTACCCGGTGTTATTAGGTCTATCCTTTTGTCTCGAACTATAGACAATTTGATGGTCAGTAGTTTGTGAGACAACAGTTTGAGAAAGTGTGCAGTTACAGTCAAAGATCGAATGACAGAGTTTCACAGAAGCCAACCTTCTTTAAGTAGACCGCACCTGGATGACTGAGTCAAGCCAAACTAAGCATTTAAAGAAAATGTTGAGCGTAATCAGGAGTAGATGAATACAACCTATTGAAACAGATAATGTAGGAAGAAATGTGAGAGCCTGGTGACAAGAGGGCAAAATTGGTCTACGTGGGAGGATACCATGCATGAGTTACACTAGCAATAGAAATACGTCTTCATAATTGCTACGAATGTTCCTTCCCAAACAGAAATACGTCTTCATAATTGCTACGAATGTTCCTTCCCAAACAGAAATACACTTTATATATGTTACAAGTGTTCCGTCGAAACAGAAATAAATCTCCATAAATGTTATAAATGTTCCATCGACATAGAAATACATCTTCAAAAATGTTACAGACGGTTGATCAAAATAGAGCTACATCTTCATCAATGTTCCATCACAAAAAAGAAAAAACATCTTCATAAATGTTACAAATGTTCCATTGAAATACATCTTCATAAATGTTTTAAGTGTTCCACTGAAAGAGAACCACTTCATCATACATGTTGTAAATGTTCCGTCGCAATGGAAATACATCTTCATAAATGTTAGAATGTGCCATCAAAATAGAAATACAACGTCATAATTCTTGTAAATATTCTATCGAAATACAACTTCATAAATGTAATAATTATAAATGTTCTATTGAAATAGAAATACAACGTCACAGATGTCATCAATGTTCTATGGTAATACAACTTCATAAATGTTATAAATGTTACATCAAAATAAAAATACAGCTTGATAAAATATGCACTGGGTGCAGTAGAACAAAAATGAATTACATCTTGACACACGTTATAAATAATACACTCGAAAATAAAGACCTATCTGATTCACATTTTAAGTGGGCTGTTCTGTCTGTGTGTGTGTCTGTCTGTCTGTCTGTCTGTCTGTCTGTCTGTCTGTCTGTCTGTCTGTCTGTCTGTCTGTCTGTCTGTCTGTCTGTCTGTCTGTCTGTCTGTCTGTTTCTCTTTGTGTCTGTGTGTGTGTGTACGCATACTCTCTCTAACACACGTACACTCTATCTCGCCCCCTCCATCTCTTTCTGTCTCTGAATGTATCTACCAACCTCGTACCTTCGTACTGCCCTCTCTTTTCTCTCTTGTAGATAGATATATATATGGGAGCCACGTTAGCGAAGTCGACAGGGAACTCGCTTTCAAATCCAGCTGCGACTCGCTGCATTCTATGGCCGGTGTTCGAACCCGGGCGGTTCCCGGGGCTCCCCCAGCCTCTAGGTAATGGGTACCAGAGTTGACACTCTTAGGTAAATGGACGGCGACACATGAGGACAGTTTCTTATCAGCTGTCCGTACTGGTGGCAGAGCACTTATGGTTTATAACCGTGTGCAATGACGCTGGTTCACATCTCCAGACTTTACATCTACACGTATTTTGTCTGTTTGAAGTGTCTGTGTTTCGCTGTGTTTCGTATATACCGATTTAGAGAACAAAAATACTTTATTTTTTGACACGTGATTGGTTGTTCCCAAAGTGTTTGACTGGGATGGCTTTAATCTCTAATAAATAAATAAATCAGTCAATCAACCACGAACTGACATGACTGCATTAGGGGCTTGCTGTACGTTTCCCGTCCCCTGTTTCAATAGTCAACCAAGTGTAAACTAGCCAATAGTAGCAGTTACAACATGATGAAAAGTCCGCCTCTGTTTCCCCCTCAATGTTGAATATCTTCCACAACACCTACTCTAACCACCCGCGCCCCCACCCCACCCCCGTTTTCTGTAACCGCCTGAATCAGTCTATGAGTGAATGGATTCTCTGTGCTATTCCACTGCCCATTGGTCTCGGAGAGCATTCACCACGTCCGCTTGTTCACAAAGTTTCTCGCACAATCGCCACACACAAAATCACCATCATTTATTTCCTTTTATGATAGCTTTATAGAGGCATTGATTGTCTGTGTATTCTCATTAACTGTCTGTGGAATGTCGCACCACTCTCTGTCAGACAGTAGTACTCACACAGGGGAAATAACCCGGACACACTTTGTATAAACATCTCACTTGTGCTGATTACTCAGCTTTGATGAGCCACAACGTTTGTCTAAGTGCAGTATTTTCTGGTACCTGAGTTTATCAGAATCAATATCTTATTAAGTTCTATCCATTTGCACACAGTATTCAGTGTTTTATCTGCTCTTTAAAAGCGCGCACTCTAAATGTGACGTGATTAATGTTTTAAAAATGTCTCATATCTTGAATATTTCATCTTACAATTAATTAAGGCTCTAGGACAGTGTTATCAAAGCAAAAGGGACTACTTTCAATCTTTGCGTTTACAGGTTGCAAACCCTGAAGGAAAGTTCTGGTTGTTCGCACATTTCTGGACTTTAGTCTTGTTCAGATTGTGACTGTTGCATGCACATACGTTTTACAGATGTGGCTTATGTGTATGTAGACTGTTGGTTCTCTGCCTCTTAGGCATGTGTATTCGAAGAAAACCTCTAATTAGTCGACACTTACGACATGCTTGTTAGGGAGGCAGTAAGTATGTTCTTGTTTTCCCCAGACTGTCACCCAGTCCACCTAAAGAAACATAACAGAGAATAATAACCCTTACCAAAACACGGAAGCATGACACATCAGGCTGTTGTTGGTCCTGCCCCCCCCCCCTACCCCGGGCTGCAGGTTTTACATGGCTGGTGTCATTGGTTCGAGTTCTCTAACTTCTGTAGAGGTTGAACAGGGTGTCTGGGATCCTGCCAGGTTGGCCTGCCCTCCACATTAAGTGTTTTCAATCTCAGGATCGTATGGCAAACCTTCAGAGAGCAGCCCGAGAAGAAGGGGGGGGGGGGGGTTTACAGATGCCATAATAATAATGGGATTTGCCCTGTCGATTTGCCGTCACGTAATCATATTCAACTTCACCATTTGTTCATTGGGTTAATCTATATATCTATTGTTTTCTTCACTTTTACCGGGTTGCAGCCCAGTGTCGTGGTTTAAAATATTTGTTTTGTGTCTCTCGCGTGATTTGAGTGACAGTTATCTGAAATTGGGTTCATGGCGTACTCAAATTTAACCTTCATTATATCACAAAATGTTTTTTTTTTAATTCTCTCCCTCACATCTCTTGTCGGGTTTTATCATGTTATAATATTCACCTTCTCTCTCTCTCTCTCTCTCTCTCTCTCTCTCTCTCTCTCTCTCTCTCTCTCTCTCTCTCTCTCTCTCTCTCTCTCTCTCTCTCTCTCTCTCTCTCTCTCTCTCTCTAGCTATTGTTTATCGTTTAATCATGTTTACTTGTATCATCCCCTAGTCGTTGACGTAAAATCACCTTCACTATCGCAGACAGTCGCTAAGCAGACTGGGAGACATCTTCATAAACGACGCCTTCGAGACATGCCACACCAGGCACAGCTCAGTGGTGGGGATAGACTTGCCCGTCAAGGCGGCCGGCTTCCAGGTGATGAGGGAGCTTCAGTTCTTCCACTCTTTCCTCTACGAACCACGGAGACCATTCCTTGCCATGGTTGGTGGGCTGTTGCTCACTGACAAAATCCCGCTCTTTGATCATCTGTTGGATCTCGCTGATGACATCATCATAGCCGGAGGTAGGAGAATTCTTCTTCTTCTTCTTCTTCTTCTTCTTCTTCTTCTTCTTCTTCTTCTTCTTCTTCGCGTTCACCAGCTGTAAAATCTGGCGGAAAGTTCCAGCTGTTCGTCCACTTCTGGACTGCAGTCCTGTTCCAGAACCTGAGTTTTGCGTGTGCTTCCGTTTGACAGATCTGACTAATTTGTATGCAGACTGTTGGTTCCTTGCCTCTCAGGCAGATGCACTTCGACTTCGAAGGAAGCTCCCATTTAGTCGACTCTTACGACATGGTTTTGGGTAAGCAGTGGGTCTATTCTTGTTTTCCCTATGATAGGACCCCGGAACCCACACAGGGAAATTACAGTTGTGAAACTGGTTGCTTAGCTTTTATAGAACGTTGCAATAGTGTCCCATTATTTGCTAATGCTATCGTAGATATCAAACCAAATGTTGTCTGCTGACAAATCACTTGCAGCTAAATTGAATCCAGAAAGTTGGTATTACGAAATTATGTTACTAACAAGAATCTGATGATATCAGTTATGTTCTGTTATCTTCTATTTTATATGTAGATGGTTTCTTGTTAAGAACACTAAGCGTAGAACTCGGGATGATCACTCCCTATCCCCAGCAGTCGGAAAGTGCCAACACTGATGGTTCTAATGGTAGCCGGTTTATGTTTTTCTTGCCATTTCTAGGAGCGCTGAGTATCTGTCGGATAGTCAGGTCACCTCAATTATCATCTGTCGGATAGTCAGGTCACCTCCATTATCATCTGTCGGATAGTCAGGTCACCTCCATTATCATCTGTCGGATAGTCAGGTCACCTCTATTATCTGTCGGATAGTCAGGTCACCTCTATTATCATCTGTCGGATAGTCAGGTCACCTCAATTATCATCTGTCGGATAGTCAGGTCACCTCCATTATCATCTGTCGGATAGTCAGGTCACCTCCATTATCATCTGTCGGATAGTCAGGTCACCTCTATTATCATCTGTCGGATAGTCAGGTCACCTCTATTATCATCTGTCGGATAGTCAGGTCACCTCTATTATCATCTGTCGGATAGTCAGGTCACCTCCATTATCATCTGTCGGATAGTCAGGTCACCTCCATTATCATCTGTCGGATAGTCAGGTCACCTCTATTATCCTCTGTCGGATAGTCAGGTCACCTCCATTATCATCTGTTGGATAGTCGAGTCACCTCCATTATCATCTGTCGGATAGTCGAGTCACCTCCATTATCATCTATTCTTTTATAAATAGTAGATCAAAGCACACCATCACATTGTTGTAGAACCAGCCAATATGTCTTCGTTTAATCTCTTAACACACCAGCATCCCATAGTTTACAGGTGGTATACAAACAAACAATTTATTGCTGGGCATTCTGTAATTGTGGAATTCAAGCAGTACGAAGGACATAACCAGTGAAAGCACTTTTATGTTTGGGGTGCCTAGAAAATCATTATCTTAGTACATTTGTTTCCATGGCGAGGCGCATTCGTCATTTGGCTGTGACAGGTTCGATTCTCGTCACCGTGTCTTTCGAATTTTATGTTGTCTAGTATGTCCTTCTGTCTTTCTACTTCTTTCTTTGAGTATCGATCAATGTATTTTCGTTTATATATATCCAAACATATAGCCTCTTATCAACGGAAAAATAAACAATCAAATCAATCATAAAGTCACAAGCCCCGTCACAAGACAATTTGCAGATTGTGTGCAGACCTGAGCAAGTCATTTATCTGACCGGGCACAATCGCTTTAGCAGCCACAGCTACACACTATGTAAGATTGGAGAATCAGCCACATGTACACACAATGTAAGATTGGAGAATCAGCCACAGCTACACACAATGTAAGACTGGAGAATCAGCCACAGGTACACACAATGTAAGATTGGAGAATCTGCCATGTACACACAATGTAAGATTGGAGAATCAGCCACAGGTACACACAATGTAAGATTGGAGAATCAGCCATGTACACACAATGTAAGACTGGAGAATCAGCCACAGCTACACACAATGTAAGATTGGAGAATCAGCCACAGCTACACACAATGTAAGACTGGAGAATCAGCCACAGTTACACACAATGTAAGACTGGAGAATCAGCCATGTACACACAATGTAAGATTGGAGAATCAGCCACAGATACACACAATGTAAGATTGGAGAATCAGCCAGGTACACACAATGTAAGACTGGAGAATCAGCCACAGGTACACACAATGTAATATTGGAGAATCAGCCACAGGTACACACAATGTAAGATTGGAGAATCTGCCATGTACACACAATGTAAGATTGGAGAATCAGCCAGGTACACACAATGTAAGACTGGAGAATTAGCCATGTACACACAATGTAAGACTGGAGAATCAGCCATGTACACACAATGTAAGATTGGAGAATCTGCCATGTACACACAATGTAAGATTGGAGAATCAGCCAGGTACACACAATGTAAGACTGGAGAATCAGCCATGTACACACAATGTAAGACTGGAGAATCAGCCACAGGTACACACAATGTAAGACTGGAGAATCAGCCACAGGTACACACAGTGTAAGATTGGAGAATCAGCCACAGGTACACACAATGTAAGATTGGAGAATCAGCCACAGGTATACACAATGTAAGATTGGAGAATCAGCCACAGGTATACACAATGTAAGATTGGAGAATCAGGCACAGGTACACACAATGTAAGACTGGAGAATCAGCCACAGGTACACACAATGTAAGATTGGAGAATCAGCCACAGCTACACACAATGTAAGACTGGAGAATCAGCCATGTACACACAATGTAAGATTGGAGAATCAGCCATGTACACACAATGTAAGATTGGAGAATCAGCCATGTACACACAATGTAAGACTGGAGAATCAGCCACAGGTACACACAATGTAAGATTGGAGAATCAGCCACAGGTACACACAATGTAAGATTGGAGAATCAGCCATGTACACACAATGTAAGATTGGAGAATCAGCCATGTACACACAATGTAAGATTGGAGAATCAGCCACAGGTACACACAATGTAAGATTGGAGAATCAGCCACAGGTACACACAATGTAAGATTGGAGAATCAGCCATGTACACACAATGTAAGATTGGAGAATCAGCCACAGGTACACACAATGTAAGATTGGAGAATCAGCCATGTACACACAATGTAGGATTGGAGAATCAGCCATGTACACACAATGTAAGATTGGAGAATCAGCCACAGGTACACACAATGTAAGACTGGAGAATCAGCCACAAGTACACACAATGTAAGACTGGAGAATCAGCCACAGGTACACACAATGTAAGATTGGAGAATCAGCCATGTACACACAATGTAAGATTGGAGAATCAGCCACAGGTATACACAATGTAAGACTGGAGAATCAGCCACAGGTACACACAATGTAAGACTGGAGAATCAGCCACAGGTACACACGTGGACTGGCACCTGAGACAGCAGATCACGTCCTTGAAGACGCAAGACTTCTGGCCAAGAGAAACACCGATGGAAGCCAAACTTCCCGGGTCGCTGGGTGAATGACAAAAGACAGTGAGGTTCATACTAGAGACAACATTAGATAAAGACAATTTCTTTCCAGCTAACGAGAAGAAACAGAAGATCTCTTTCATTGTTTCATCTCTCGCCCAAGCGCATGCATTTCATCTCACAAATGTTTGTTTTACGTGCCTATGCTTTTAATTAGTATTTGTTTATGATGCGTTTAGCTGACATAAATGTTGCCGATTGTTGGGAGATTTTACAATAAAAGGCGAAAAATGCAATGGTATGGACATGTTATAAGATCTAACGGCCTCTCAAAAACAATACTGCAGGGCTCAGTAGAGGTGAAGAGAAGAGGCAGACAAAGAAAGACCTGGTTACAGAACCTGACTGACTGGACAGCATGCCACCGTGAAGTCGATTGCAACTGACCGCCAAAGGTGGAGAGAGCTGATCAGACAGTCAACAGAAACTGGTGATCCAGCGACAGGTAGTGTAACGGGATGATGATGATGATGATGAATGCACTGATTTATCTCCAGTTATTTCTAAGAAACAGTTATAAATGTGACATTCAGCAGTGACATGTCAATCAACACAGTAACTGTGAGTGATACCACGACATGTCTAGCGTTTTCACACTTTTCACATTCCCGTCTGGGTTCCGGGGCCCCATTGCGGACACAACCAGAACAGACCCACTGCCTTCCCAACAAGCATGTCGTAAGAGTCGACTAATTGGGGGTTTCCGTCGAAGTGCATCTGCCCGAGACGTAAACAACCAACAGTCTGCACATAAATAAGTCAGATCTGTAAAATGACTGCACGCAACAGTCAGGTTCTGGAACAAGTCCAAAGTCCAGAGATGGACGAACAACCATAACTTCCTGCCGGAGTTTACAGCTGGGTAACACGAAGAAGAAGACAGGTTGACAGTCAACCCTTTCTTTGATCACTTCTGTACATAAGCTTCAATTGTCTAACGCTCTACTCATCAGGGTTGGCTTTCACTTTCCTCAAAGTACTACATGGAATCTCCATCGGGAGGTCAGTGTACGACGAGCAGGCCGCCTCTCTAGTTCCCATCATTGTTGACAGAGCTCGGATCAAGCACATCCACATCCATCTGCCCCGGGACATCGTGGTGGCCAGCAAATTCGATCCGCTGGCAGACACACGGACGATCAACATGCCCGCTGGCATCCCGGACGGTGAGTGTTTGTTGGTTCTGGCCATATTTGTTTACCGTCTACCTGTTTGATCTGTCGGCTTGACGTCAGCGGGTGGATTTGTGTAGGTTAGCTACTTCTGCTTGTCGGCATTCGTGGTTTAGGCGTTGGGATCGCGAATCGTTATGTCGAGGTATCGGGTTCAATCCCAGCTGCAGGCGATTTGGCAACAGACCGTCTTGCGTTAGTTAGTTACGACAGTCGAATCGAGAGCTGACCGTTCACTTGGTAAACACCTGAACGTAAAATTGTGCCTAGAAAAATCACAACAGTCAAAACATACTGGTGGTTGGTTTTGTAACGTCCTGTAAACGTCCTGTAAACGTCCTGTAAACAACAGGCAACTACATTTTTTTTAAACTTCTGTTAATCTTCGCTCTCTCTCTCTCTCTCTCTCTCTCTCTCTCTCTCTCTCTCTCTCTCTCTCTCTCTCTCTCCCTCCCTCTCTCTCTCCCTCCCTCTCTCTCCCTCTCTCTCTCTCCCTCTCTCTACCTCTCTCTCCCTCTCCCTCTCTCTCTCCCTCTCTCTCTCCTCTCTCTCTCCCTCTCTCTCTCCCCTCTCTCTCCCTCCCTCTCTCTCTCCCTCTCTCTCTCCCTCTCTCTCTCTCCCTTTCTCTCCCTCCCTCTCTCTCTCTCTGTCTCCCTCCCTCCCTCTCTCTCTCCCTCTCTCTCTCTCTATCTCCCCCCCCCCCCCTCTCTCTCTCTCACTCTCTCTCTCTCTTTCCTGAACAAATGTAATCTCGGTATCTTCAACCCGCACGCTTGCACACATATCTGTTTGTCTGTCTACCTGTCTGTCTGTCTGCCTGTGTATGTATGTCTATATGCCTGTTTGTCTCTCTTTCTATCTGTCTGTTGACTTACTTATTATGTATATGTCTGTATGTCTGTCTGTCTGTTGACTTACTTATTAGATATCTGTCTGTATGTCTGTCTGTCTGTTGAGTTACTTATTATATATCTGTCTGTATGTCTGTCTGTCTGTTGATTTACTTATTATGTATCTGTCTGTATGTCTGTCTGTCTGTTGACTTACTTATTTTATATCTGTGTATATGTCTGTCTGTCTGTTGACTTACTTATTTTATATCTGTGTATATGTCTGTCTGTCTGTTGACTTACTTATTATCTATCTGTCTGTATGTCTGTCTGTCTCTTGACTTACTTATTATGTATCTGTATGTATGTCTGTATCTCTGTCGGGCGCAGATTCCCTATTCCGCCGTCCAAAAAGTAATATAATGATGGAGCCTACTGCTGACTACAAGTAACTGTTTCCCACTCTGGTCAGCTCTCCGAAGGATAGATACCCCAGTGACTCGAAGAGACGTATTCTATACCTCAGTTCAACAAGAAACCTACCAGATACTGCGTTCAACCTCCAGAGAAGTTATAATTAGGGTCCTGCAATATTTGCATCACGTATTATCTTGGTTTATCTTGGCAATCCCGCAAGTCTTACACTAATAATATTAATATACAGCTACAAGAATGTGTATTCTCTCGTTACTGAATCATTATTTTTTCTGGGGAAACATTTGATACATTGTGAATAGAATAGTATAGTATGAAAGCGAAGTATAAGGGGTTGAGTGATCTCGAGGTATGGCATCCACCTCGAGTGCTGGAGGTCCCAGGTTCAAACTCCAGTGAAGGCTGGTATTTTTTCACGTGGACTTCTAGTAGTTTCCCTTGGTCTCTGGGTAGTAAGACCGGAAGCCCGAATGAATTGTTGCGCACGTAAAAAAAATTCCTTGGCAGTTGGAAATCGAAAAGAGTAGCCTAACAGCGCTGCTTGGGCAACATTTGGAGTTAAAACCTACCTAAAGTATTCAGAATATCAGTATATCAGGATCCTCGCCTGTGCAACGGAGTTCGTGCACTGCGGTAAGATTCTTTAAACTCAGGCTTGAGTTAGAAGTAGAACGGAGAACTTATGGGGTGCACCCGCATGCCACGGTGTTGATCCGTTGTACAAACATAGCAAAGAATATTTTGCTGTTGAAAATCCGTATGTATTACTTCGCCATGGAAACCTAGGCATTCAAGACTGTAACATCCTTTATAACGTCCAGGTTGGATAGGGTTGGATATCGGAGTCAAGACGCAGAAAATATTTGCTGACGTGATCGGTCGAGCCAGAACAATTCTCTGGCATGGTCCGCCGGGAGTGTATGAAATGGACAGCTGTTCTAAAGGGACGGAACAAACGGTGAAGGCTGTTGTCAAGGTATTATGTTGTTTTGGTGCAGAAGATTTGTCCTTAATTCAGATACTCGATTCATAGATTTACGGCAATTTCTCATCGTGTTAATACAAGGTTCATATGGTCGAGTTAGTGGCATTGCAGTCAACGTAGTCCCACGGTAGACAGTTTCGTCACGTGATGGACATGTGATCTCATGGCAGGCAGGTAGTCCCTTGACAGACAAAGTAGTCTTATAGCAGGCAAAGTATCCGGGTGCATACATGTAGTCTCATGGCAGACAGATAATCTAATGGCAGACAAGGTAGTTTTATGGCAGACAAGGTAGTTTCATGGCAGACAAGGTAGTCTCATGGCAGACAAGGTAGTCTCATGGCAGACAAGGTAGTCTCATGGCAGACAGATAATCTAATGACAGACAAGGTAGTTTCATGGCAGACAAGGTAGTCTCATGGCAGACAAGGTAGTCTCATGGCAGACAAGGTAGTCTCATGGCAGACAAGGTAGTCTCATGGCAGACAAGGTAGTTTCATGGCAGACAGGGTTGTCTCATGGCAGACAAGGTAGTCTCAAGGCAAACAGTACGGTTGGGATAAGATGTGTTAGGCCTTCACAAAGGTCATGAAAAAATGATGCATGGCGTGAAAAATTGATTTCTTAACAGCATTTTTTATCAGACATTTTCTAGAAAAATTCTTTCAATCACCCGTGATATATTTTACACGGCAGCAAATGGTGCTAGGCGTAAATCCCTGACTGTAACATATTGCAATGATACAGGGATGAATCCCTGACTGTAACATACTGCAATGATACAGAGATGAATCCCTGACTGTAACATACTGCAATGATACAGGGATGAATCCCTTACTGTAACATACTGCAATGATACATGGATGAATCCCTGACTGTAACATACTGCAATGATACATGGATGAATCCCTGACTGTAACATACTGCAATGATACAGGGATAAATCCCTGACTGTAACATACTGCAATGATACAGGGATGAATCACAGATAGTCTGCCTCTCAGTGAACGATACTGGCCGTTGTCATCCGTGTGGAAGGTTGTCATCCGTGTGGAAAGTTGTCATCCGTGTGGAAGGTTGTCATCCGTGTGGAAGTTTGTCATCCGTGTGGAAGGTTGTCATCCGTGTGGAAGGACAATCTATTATGGCTTCTCTCTATCTTACTCTTTTTTAAAAATCCTTTACCAATGTATGGAATCTTCTTATATGTAGCAGCTATGGTGGTTACTGATGTTGCTGCATTATAACGAGATAGCAGACCGTTTTATCTTTTTATGTTCTGTTATCACTGCACATTGGGCGTTCCTACGATGCAGCAGTTCTTCAAGATACTCCTACTAATTATTTCATGAGAGGTTGGTTATTGTGTCTCGGCTTCGAAGGCAACATAGATGTGCTTTACACTCATGTCACGTAATCGTGTTAGTGTCAGAGATTACTATGCTGGGGTTCTCAGCATATCTGCCATCGTCTTTCGGTTTTTTTTTAAACCTGTCTGTATCTGGCTATCCGAAGGACACCCACACTATTTTATCTGTTACATGTTGATGAGTAGTTTGATCCGTGGTGTTATAACATCAGCCGCCACCCCGCCACAGCCGCCACCCCGCCACAGCCGCCACCCCGCCACAGCCGCCACCCCGCCACAGCGGCCACCCCGCCACAGCGGCCACCCCGCCACAGCGGCCACCCCGCCACAGCCGCCACCCCGCCACCCTGCCACAGCCGCCACCCCGCCACAGCCGCCACCCCGCGGGCAATAGTTGTGACGGGCTGGCTAAACCAGGAGTGGGTAGCCCACCTGGTTGTAAACCACTCAGAAATTGGAATATGCCTTCCCGGCATGCAAAGACTAGACACGTCTGATTGTGCGGATGAAACCTCTTATGGTTTAACGGACAAAAAGGCGATTACCAGCAAACTCTGTTGAGATGTTCGAGCAAGGCAGGGCACTTCAGACGCCTTGGTCATCCCTTGCACCTAGGTCCAGTTATTATCGACTTGACTTTGTCCTGCCATTGGATGAAGATGGACACAGGCGAGAGAGTGAGGCAAACGAATTGCGCAACTCTTCCTCGCTTAAATCCAATCCCTTGCGCAAGCCAGTGTTGTCCGCACTGCTCACGAACTGTCCTGTCTCATAGTGAACTAATCAACCACCTCCGCACTCATAATCATTGATCATTACCACTCCTGATGAAAAGTAGTCATCATCACTCGTGATGGTCGAAAAGAATGCTTTTATGATTATCGTGTGGTCGTTTTTGTTTTTTTTCGACACACTTGACAGCCTTTAATGTATCACCAGAGATGCTGTGGCATTCTGGATCCAACGAAGACAGAACCATTGTGTTTAATGGAACAGACACGATTTAGTTTTGTAGCCAAATTGTAATTTATTTAATTATGTCATACGTGAACGTTTTATATATATACAGGCAAACAATACACATTGTCCTGTTTTGCCATTATGTGTCACATAGGGCAGTTTATTTCTTCATTATCTTCTGTCTACCCTGTGCAATCACTTCGATACTGTGGATGGAATCCAGTCCAGCACCTTTGGCTTCTCTCGTCAACGTTCGCCTTATGGTTTCTCGTGGACATCATCGCTTCCTCAATCTCTTTTTCATTGAAGTCTTGTCTGGTGATTATTTTTTGTTTTGTTTTCTCAGAACGTGTCTAATATAGCACCATCTTCCCTGTCTTATAACTGTAGATACTAGTGGTCGATCTGACATTTCTCTTATGTCTCCATCCCTCTTAAATTCAACCTATTTTACATGCATCCTTTTCCTCCAGTATTTGTTTTTGACAACATTGAACTTTGGTTCCATGCCTCTAGCGGTCCCCCAACTTTCAGCGTCACATGTTACAACATAAATAACATTGCAACTGGAAATACGTCACTTGGCTCTAAACCTATATCACTTAGAGTTCAATATTTTATTATAGAAGCTGCTAATGCCTTGCCAATACTTGCTACCATGTCTTTCTTTGTATCTCCTTCACTATCAAAATTACTGCCTAAGTAAGAAGATTAACCTGTTACTTCAGAGTTATTTTGGCGGTAGGGGAAAAAGGGAAAAAAAAGGGGGGGGGGGTGTCTGGTCTTACATCTGCTGGATCTGTTATAGCTGCCTTTAATATTTGTGTCTTATATACTCCATTTGTAATGCCAAGTTTGAGGCGTTTCTGACTTATCAGACACAATAGCATCTGCAACATCAAGAGCTTCCAACATTTATTCATCAGTCATTCAATAAATACATCAAATAACATGGCAGAAATAAAAAGTCTTAAACAAGGTTTCAACTTCACCGCAATCGGGTTTCCCCATGCTTGCTCCGTTTCTGTGCCAGTGCAAATCTAAGTAAATGTTTCTCACTGTCGCATTTGAACAATGGTGAACTAACAACTAGTCTCAAACTCCAGAAATATGAATATTTCAATTGCTAGAGGTGCCAAAGCCAACATTGGCCCCCAGAAATGGAGTTTATCGTTGATGGAAGTACGAAAAGCTGTCTATACACACATAGAATATCACATAATGACACAAGGTATTTCATCAGCTCACACGTAAACCGGCTACAGGCCATATTAAATACCATGACACAACCGGTGCACAAATGAAAGGCGTTCCACAGGAGAAACACAACTCACAGGGCTGTACCGATCGCTAAATTCGGTAGCGAAACCGACAACTAGCATTTATATGCGGAAACTGCATCAGCAAAGCGCTGTCGGAAGCAAAAATAACTTCGAAGTTTAACAATCAGCCATGCCTATTTTTCCATTTTACCCCGGAAGTCTACATCGCTGTAGGGAATTGTAAAATACTGTAGTGAACCACTAAAAATAATAAACCATTCGAAAGCAATGTGTAAAGGCTCGTCGGCGGCTGTGGCTTAAGTCTTGCACCAGTTTCGACAGTGGTACAGATGCTGACCATTTAGAAAGCAATTGCAAACTACTGAACGTAAAATGTGCCCAGAAAAAAGAAAACAGCTAAAAAAAAAAGGGGTTGGGGCTGGTTCAACAACGTCCTGTAGAGGATAACGCAACTAACATTTTATGAACGCTCAGAGTGCAGTGCGAACGAAAGATGGGTTAAGTTATTAGTTTGCAACAGAAACAGGAGTAAAACATTGACGTATTTTATTTTCTACCCTGTTATTTGTAGGTATGTGTATGTTAGTGTGCGTACAAATTTATGCGTGTGTGTGTAAGTGTGCGTACACACACACACACACACACACACACACACACATATATATATATATATATATATATAAATATATAAATATATATATATATATATATATATATATATATATATATATATATATATATATACACACATATATGCCTGTATGTGTGTGTGTGTGTGTTACACATACAATGAAACAGGTCTGAAGTAATCAACTACCGTGAAAGATGTTCTATGTTTCTGGCGAGTGTGTGTGTGTGTGTGTGTGTTACACATACAATGAAACAGGTCTGAAGGAATCAACTACCGTGAAAGATGTTCTATGTTTCAGGCGACTCAGCTTGGTGCCATGACTATGATACAGGGTGCCGATACAGTCGCATGCTGCAGGAAGTTTCATGCCGAAAACCACATCAGCCGAATCTGCCTTGAACACGGGGTTTGTGTTGAGCATGTCCTAGAGAACCAACTGCCAGGTATCGAGTTCCTGGACTGTCGTGAGGACATGATGGTAAGTATCATATTCCTGAAGCTAGATATGCGTAGTTTTTGGGCACCAACTATTACTGTTCATTTGTCACCACACTTTCGCCAATTTTTGCCCGTGACAATGCACGTCATACAAAGTTCAATCAGTTAAGAATTTTGTTAACACTAATGTGTACGGATGTGCTCGAAAGGTGTAAATATTACAGTCCAGCTGTAAACACAAACAAACGTGTCGATAGCATTTTTAAAGTTCACAGGAAAGACAGAGGTAGAAGACTAAGGCCTTATCTTGCAAACGTCAACACTTGGTACAAGTGAGCCTTTCCATCAAACAGACGATATAAAACTAAAGACACCACGCCAATTGCAGCTGCTGGGCAACTTGTCCAGGCCATAAACCGAGGGTTTCTTAGCAAACGAGAAACTGGCAAGAGGACAACAATTACTGTCTACCGCTCCACCTAGGTACCAGTCCTGACCTACAGGTGTGAGTCATGGGTCATGACAGCTCACAGAAGTAGCTTCAGGCCTCAGAAATAAGATATTTGAGAATTTAAGTATTATTTAAATTCAGTTTGTTTTACTAGGTCTGTGAAAGGCTTCACTGGCAAACATTAGTTTTACTAGGTCTGTGAAAGGTTTCACTGGCAAACATTAGTTTTACTAGGTCTGTGAAAGGCTTAACTGGCAAACATTAGTTTTGCTAGGTCTGTGAAAGGTTTCACTGGCAAACATTAGTTTTACTAGGTCTGTGAAAGGCTTCACTGGCAAACATTAGTTTTACTAGGTCTGTGAAAGGTTTCACTGGCAAACATTAGTTTTACTAGGTCTGTGAAAGGCTTCACTGGCAAACATTAGTTTTACTAGGTCTGTGAAAGGTTTCACTGGCAAACATTAGACGGAAACTAATAAACGCATTATTAAACTTAACTGGAAAAGAAGCCATCAATCTCACATGGCAATAACTATTCACAACATAAAGACAAAACTAGAACGGTTCGGAAAGGAATGCGTTTAAACCAAGACTTTTCAACTGATCTGCATCAAAGACTCAAGCAGTTTCATAAATTACTTGACAAATTAATATCATCATCATCATTTTATCTTCATCATTTTATCATCATTATCATCATCGTCATCATCACCATCCTCATCAACATCATCGTCGTCATCATCATAAGCTATTCAGTGTTATTTGGAGTGAATGAACAGGAATGACAGAGCTGAGTTGAACAAAGACTCACACCAAGTCGGAGTATGCATCATAGATTAGTCTGTGTGTATTGTTTAATTTTATTTTACCGTAATTAAAAATGTCAATTAGTGGCAAGCAATATTTTGCATGTATGTCGTACCGTGCTAGGATCTTGAATTTGTTACTTATACTTTTGGACCAAGACAAGTGTATGTACACAATTATAAAAGCAAGAAGGTAACAAAACAAACTACAATACAACGGCAGCAATCAATAATACATGATTATGATAATAAATAAGAGATTCCCAGTTGCTTGTTTTTTTTTAAAATTGCAACAAGTTTATGGATCCGTGTTAGATGTGCCTACTGCGTGTGGATGTATGAGTCAAATAAAGGCCAAATCCTTAACAAATGTTGATACAACACGTGCATGTATTAAAACGAATGAGAAATGTTGAATGTTGAATAAACAATCGACATCATAGCACTCCGGACACCACCATAAGCGCTCCGTCCTTATCTCCAGCAGCAAGCTAAGATTCAAAACTCCGATGGTACCAGTAACTGTCTGATTGTATATCCGTCTAACCTTTCCCCTTGGGTGTCGAGCGTCGGCCAGATCGTTATAATTATTATTATTTTGTCTTTGATTTTCTAATGGGTCATAGGTTCCTAACCGACTGAAGCCGAATCCTTGTTCGTGATAGTTGAATTTGGCTATACTCCGGGTTTCCGGTCATGATATGACGTGTTTTGACAGCTCTGCCAATTCTGAGTCTTCAGTCGAAGTTTAAATATTGAAATCATAATGAAATTTACTTTAAAATGCTTACTGTTCCAATGGATATCCGATAAGTTAATAATTTTCAAGTTATATGACAATAATATGTTACCTGTGGTTTTACTGTTAATTTTTCACGGTAAGAACATCAATTTTACCCAATTTCGATAACCCGGAAACTTGCCATGTGTGTAGTAGCATACTAATCAAAGACAAACGAGGGCGGTCTGCTTGGGCTTTGTTCCCAAAGCCAGTGAAGCTCACCACTACTGTGTTCGCTTGGAACAATGGCTCCCAGCTTACGACTGACAACACTGGCCAAACGCAGTCACACAGAAAAGCCGGTTGACAAAATCAGAAGGACAACTAGCCCGGAGCCCACGCCACATTCAACTTCCCCTCGGCTTAACAGGCAGATCAAAGCTGGGACCGAACTGAACACACCCAGTGCTTCAATAGAAAATGTTTCACTACCTGGCCAGTGCACCACAAACGTATCTTCACCTAATCGTGATGCTGACTCAAACACGAGTCATCATTCGCCATCGTCACGCCTAGGTAACGGTGTAGCAGATACGAATCTAAATAAAAATGTTTTACATCATTGCTCCGAACTGATCCAATCATTGAAGGACAGGCTAACGCTTCTTATTACTGAAAAGTGCTCATCTTCTGTTTCCAAATTTACAGAAGAAAACTGTGGCCCACACTCGGAATGATTGTAATGATAAAACGTCCTCTAGTGCAGCTGTAAACTTTTCTTCAACCCAAGTGCACATTCCGGTGCAGCACAAACCATGTCTTATTTCTCAGACTGAGACTTATGATGAACTGTTTCCTTCCTTGCCTGTTAAGCAGTCTCCACAGTGCAGATCTACAGAAGCACCCTTAAATAATAGCGCTATGCCCCAGATGTCAGTCTCCAATGTAGGACCTGCTGGTGGTACTCACGTTAACCACCCCTCACTGTACACTAACGTACATCCTGCTTACCGCTGGAATCGAGATGTCGAGCATCTCATGCAGTTTAATCCTGCAGCTCTGCACCAGGCTTTCATGATGTCACTCCAGCAGAGACGGTACCCTACCCTATCACATGCCAGTACAACCCAGTGAGTACATCTTGAAAAAAAGTCAGTGCCAAGAAATATAAATTTCCTTATACCAAATACAATGTCAGCCAGTCGTAATCAGTGGTTAAACAAAGGTGGCCTCCGAATAGGTCACCTAAACATTTATCATTTGTTAGGCAAACTACCTGAGCTATCAGTCAGGATTAACAGCCAGTTTCATCTTTTTGGAATTACCGAAAGTCGGCTAAACAATAAAATTACTAATAATGAAATTAAAATCAATGGGTTCAATGTTATTCGCAAAGACGCAGTGAGAAAATTAGAAACAGGTATAACTGTTTATATCTCAAATCGTATCAATTATTCCCATAGAAATGACCTAGAATCCTTAGAAGTAGAGTGTGTCTGGCTGGAAGTCAAGCCGTCAAACCAGCAATCGCTTTTCATTGGTTACCTGTATCGAAATCCGTGTGCAGGTAACAATTGGTATGACGACTTCACTTCTATGCTGGATAGAGTGTTTAGCTTAGGAAAAGAAATTATTCTTCTAGGAGATTTCAACATTGATGCAAAGAAACGAAACCAAACATGGCGAGATATCATCCTATCCTATAACTTTAAACAACTAATCAACCGGACCACGAGAGTGACAGAAACCACCTCAACTATAATAGATCACATCTATGTGTCTTGTCCAACAAATATTATTGAGTGTACTGTTCCTGCTAGTGCAGTCAGCGACCATTATCCCGTATGCATTACTTGGTCAAAAGGTAAATTTAGAGCTCCTAAATATAAGCATTTGACTATTAAATTTAGATTTTTCAAAACATTTAATCCGGATTTATTTTTACGTGACTTGCAAAATGTACAGCTCGATAATGTTTATCAACTTCCTGAACCTGACGACGCTATAGACTACTGGACTAAGACAGTCTTCGGTGTTTTTGAAAAACATGTACCAGTTAAGTAAGTTAGAGTAAAAAGCCAAACTAAATCACCGTGGATAACTAGTGCAGTTCTAGAAATTATGAGAGAGTGGGATACGGCACACAAAAATAAAAACTTTACTGCTTATCGCAAATTAAGAAATAAAGTGCAATATGAAATTCGTAAAATTAGGAAAGACCACTTTAATAGATTAATTAAAGATAAAACAAACAGTGCAGATATCTGGAAGGCTATTAATACGCTTACCAATTAGAAACATTGTTCAGATCAGGCAATCCCTAATTTGCTAACATGTGAAACGTTCAGTTCCTTCTTCAGATCAGAAATTGAGTATTTAAAGTCATCAATACCAGATTCACAGTGTGACTTAAGCCTACTAGCATCATTCTGTGAGGAAAAATGCACCACGACTATTTCTCCAGAGATCCCACTTCTGTCTGTTGCTGAAGTGAACACATATCTCTCCAACCTCAAGCAAACAAACTCCTCTGGCTTAGATGGAATCAGTAATCGAATCCTTCGATGTGCTGCACCAGTCATTAGTGACTCCCTAACATTTATATATAATCAGTGCCTTTCTAAGAACTACTTTCCATCAGCATTTAAAATTGCCAAAGTGTATCCTCTACTCAAACCTGGCTCAGCTGGCAACAGTTCTCTTGGCAGTTATAGACCCATTTCTCTACTGTCCTCGCTATCCAAACCATTGGAGAAACACATACATAAAATAACGTTTCAGCATTTAAATAACAACAATCTGATAGTTGATAGCCAATCAGGGTTCAGGCCTATGCACTCTTGCCATACTGCGATGACAAAAGTGACAGACAACTGGCACTTTAACATCAACAAAGGAAACATTTGCGGTGCAGTTTTTGTAGACTTTTAGAAAGCCTTCGATATGGTTGATCATGATATTCTAATTAATAAATTAAAAATATTAAAAACTAACGATAATTTAGTCGAAATAATGCGGTCATTTTTATCTGATAGACAGCAAGTGGTATCCTTCAACAACCGCCTGTCAGAATCCGCTCAGTTAAATATAGGCGTGCCACAGGGGTCGATTCTGTGTCCACTACTATTTGCCACGTATATTAACGACCTTCCATTACATCTTAGTATAACATGAGATTTATTTGCTGATGACTGTACAATATATACTAGTAATGAGAATCGTAATGAGTTAGAAAGATCTTTACAGAAAGAAGTACACAATCTTTGTAAATGGAGCAACAGCAATCGCATGCAAATTAACATAAATAAAACGAAGTCTATGCTTATAACAACCAATCAAAAGTTGCAAACGTTAGTATTGCACAAGCCAACACTCGAGCTCTGTATTGATAAATTACCTATTGGTAATGTAACGGAACACAAAACTTTAGGCCTTACAATTGACAACCATTTAACCTGGAATTCTCATCTTTCTGTCATAATTAAGAAAAAGCACAAAAAGTGTATCAGCTTGCCAAAATTCTAGACTAAGATGCAGGAAAAGTATTTTACGCGTCTTACATCCAAACACATGTTGACTATTGTACCACAGTTTGGGATGGTTACGCCAAATCCAATGTTAAAAGACTAAGTTCTCTTCAAAACCGTGCTTTACGCCTGGTTTCAGATAGTAAACATATCGAAAAAAAAAAAAAATATCTATAACCATCTAAGACTATTGCCATTTAGCAAACGTTTAATTGTTAGCAAGGTCAAATTTATTCATAAAATTTTTTCTCAAAATACTCCAAAATACCTTTTCCGATTAATTAAATCAAATCCTATAAATAGCAAGCGACTAAATTTATTACATTTGCCTAAACCTAGAGTAGATTTATATAAAACAAGTTTAGCGTACTCCGCTGCTCATTTGTGGAGTCAACTTCCACTAGACCTGACAAATTCTAAAAGTCCCTATTCATTTAATCGTAAACCTTTTCAATTCATACTTACAAGCGATTATATGCCACCTTGAATGTAATGTAAACCATATTGCATTATCAATTTATTATTAAACAAGGTGTGTATGATATGTATGTGTGCGCGCGCCTGTGTGTGTGATATGTATGTATGTGTAGGCGTGTTTTTACACATATGATTCTGAGTATGTTGGTTGTCCGCTTGTGTATCTGCGAATATATGCGTCTGTGTCCTTGTGTATGTGTGCGAATGTGTGTGTATTCGCGCGTATGTCAACGTGTATGTTTAAGTATGAATTAGTCTGTGTGTGTTTAAGTGTGCCTCTTTGTTGTGTATGTGTGTCTGCGTGTGTGTGTGTGTGTGTGCAATTGGATACATGTGGCTGTGTATATGTGACTGTGTATGTGTATCTCTGTGTTTGTCTACATATGTATGTGTCTCGGTGTTTGTCTGCATATTTGATATGACTGTGTGCATTTCTTCGTGTGTGTCTGTGTGTGTCCCCGTATGTGTTTGTCTGCATGTTTGTATGTCTGTCTGCGTGAGTGTATATATATGGGTGTGTGTATGCACGTGCGGGTTTTTGCATGCACTTTACAACTCATGCTTTTGTGTTCTTTTATAATATTCATAATATGGATAACATCATATGATCATAACATGCTTTATTAGTAAAATACAACTGCTGTGCGAAAGATGGTTGACTAGAAGAGCCGAATGTAAGACGGGCCTGCGTGCCCAATTTGTGACTCTTTGAAAATAAAGTTCGTTCGTTCGTTCGTTCGTTCACTTCTCGCAGTGCCATTCTCCTCAGACGGTAATGATCTATCTGTCCCTCGGCACTGTTGACTCGCTCCCAAAGGACCCTCACAACATCCAGCTTGTCATACATCAGACAAAGCAGCAATGGATAATATACCCACAACGGACTGAACTGTATAAATAAAGTAGAGAGATGACTCACAAACATCGCTCGTATGTTACTATACATAATAAAATTATCACGAGAAACACAGTCCATTAGCTTAATTGTCTAAGAAAGACGCATCAGAAGTATCCGCCAAATTCTGGACTCCGGGATATCGAAACAGCTTGAGGACGGCATATCTAAATCTGGCGTTTAATGCAAAATAGATAATAAAGTTCATGCCAGAATTGAGCAAGCCTAGCAGGTTGAACATGTTGTAGAGAAAACGTGGTAGCGGCCAGTAGTAGTCAACGCCCATACACACCACAGTGGGGGTCAAACAGATGAAGTAGACGCCAAAAACTGTCATGAAGAACTTCACACTTTTGAAACGATCAGTTGGCTTCTTCCAGGCGAGAGACGAACTGACGATTTGTGGCCGTGTATTTGAAGCTTCCTCTTGCTGACTGGCCTCCTGGCGAAGCTCTGACTGTAGTTTCGCATGAAATAACCCTGTGTCCTCTCTCTGGCACAGACTTGTAGTAAATACATGACTTGAACGGGGAGGTTGGACAACAATAGTTTTAGACTGGATCACTCTCCTGTGTCTGTAGGCCGTCAGTAAGATTTGTGAATACATGGCCACGTCGATGGCGACACTGGTTGTGTAAATGGATACATTAGCGTAAAACATGTAGCCTACGGGCATAACTATTGTGATGTCACAGCTAGTAGTGTTCCTGGCTTGGTCATGAATTGCCTGAGGTAGTAGGGCGTAGAACAGCCCAAATGACCAGGTGCTGGCAATGATAATGTAAACAACTTTTCTACTGACCACTGTCTCGTAGAGGTAAGGTCTTATAATGTACAGATATCGGTCTATCGCTATAAAGACCATGTGAATAGTCGACACAACCGCCATGCCCAAGTTTGTGCCCAGCACTAGCAAGCATAACTTCATGTTTCTATCGTAGTACCGATTCCTGATGGATGGAACATAGAACATAGATAAAGGTATCAAACCCACACCTACAACAACGTCTGTGGCTGCCAGAGACACTACATACATGTTGGACAATGTATGGAGGCTCCGGGTTCGTCTCACCACCAGGATTGTGGCACTGTTGACGAAGATGATGAACAGGGACATCACAAGAGCGAACACGATGAGAACTATCTGGCTGACAGAAATGTCCACCTGCGCCTGGACATAGGTAGTGACTGTTGTACTTGTGATATCAGGAACTGTACCACTGGTTCTCTCCAGGACGCTGAGTGTCACTGCCGCCCCGTCAAACGTAGTCATTGTTTCACACTGCCGCCCCGTCAGACGTGGTCATTGTTTCACACTGCCGCCCCGTCAGACGTAGTCATTGTTTCACACTGCCGCCCAGTCAGACGTAGTCGTTGCTTCACACTGCTGCCGCGTCAGACGTAGTCATTGTTTCACACTACCGCACCGTTAGATGTAGTCATTGTTTCACACTGCCGCCCCGTCAGACGTAGTCATTGTTTCACACTGCCGTCCCGTCAGACGTAGTCATTGTTTCACACTGCCGCCCAGTCAGACGTAGTCATTGCTTCACACTGCCGCTCCGTCAGGCCTAGTCACTGTTTCACACTGCAGCCCCGTCAGACGTAGTTGTTGTTTCACACTGCCACCCCGTCAGACGTAGTCATTGCTTCACACTGCCGCTCCGTTAGATGTAATCATTGTTTCACACTGCCGCCCCGTCAGACGTTGTCATTGTTTCACACTGCCGCCCGGTCAGACGTAGTCATTGTTTCACACTGCCGCCCCATCAGACGTAGTCATTGTTTCACACTGCCGCCCAATCAGACGTAGTCATTGTTTCACACTGCTGCCCCGTCAGGCCTAGTCACTGTTTCCCACTGCCGCCCTGTCAGACGTAGTCACTGTTTCTTTCCTTAGTATCTGCCAATTCTGAAATATTAAAAAGTTTCTGTTAAAAATAGTGCGGCGTGGTTATATCGTATGTAAGCAACGTTAATATACAGTGTGTTCCGTTCTGGTCATTCCTGCACTTAAATGAGAGGATACAGCTAGAAGTGCCTTATAAAATCATATACTACACAACACACACACACACAAATGCACACACACACACACACACACACACACACACACACACACACACACACACACACACACCAGATGGGGTAATTTGTTTGATAAAAGAGGAGCAATACGATAGAAACACCGTGATATGCGTCCAAAAAGGGGTAATTTCTTTTAAATGCACTTTCCAGAAAAGGTCATTTGTTAGACACATGGTTATGATGGGCTTATTTTATAGACGTTTTTAAATAGGTAATCTGATAGACTTTGGCGAAGTGGTCTCTTGTTAGATACACGCTTAGGAAGAAAAATGTGTTTTTCCCATGTCAGTGAAGAGGTTTATTTGATAGATACTCATTCGTGCATAGATAAATTGCCTAGTGACTCAATTTTCAATTGGCTTTCGCTACAAACTCCCAGGCACTTCTCCTCTTTCCTCTCAGCACCGAACCATCTGTAAAGATAATCAGATCACCTGGGCGTGAATTGTCGTAAATCAACTGTTGGACTTCCACCTTCGTAGTATCCGCTGGCATTCCGGCCTAATGTGATCATAACCCTACATAGGTCAGACTTTTCCTCTGTTAATCTGACCCAACCCTCTCCTCGCCCAATGTTCTCCAGCATGCATACTTCTCTGATTGTGTCTTCTGCTTGAGCCATCTACGAGAATGTTTGACGGCAAAAGAGGGAAAGGAAAGCCAAGAGAGATCTGGGTAGTTCGATATCATGACAAGCAAGAGTATATGTATCTAAAGTAACTGAAGGTACACATGAGAGAGGCTTGATTACTAAGGCTGCGTGTCATGAACTTTAAGAAATGGATTTGTACTTATACAAGCGACAAGTTGATTCAGTCTAATGAAATGTTGTCAAACGTCCAACATGAATGTTGGTTTTTGAATGTAGGATACGATAACTCTGCTCTGGTGACCATGTAGATTCTGCAAAGGTAAACAGTGTTGATGGAGCTTGTTAGTGTATGTCAATAGTTTATGCAGTCTGTACCCAGAAACTTGACATTTGTTAACTGAGAACTTCACTTTTTTTTTTTCTTCTTTTGGTCCACACCTCGCAGCTTTTTTTATTGTCTCGGGGTTCTGCCAGGGGTTGCTTTATTTGTTATCCGTGTCGATTTCCAAGCACATCGGTCCGACCCATTCATGCTCCGTCTTCCGATGCCATCACAGTGTCTCCATGCTCAAGAAACCCAGCAGGAGTTGAGTGACATAGGTACTTTCTTTGCCGTGGAACCGATTTCTGCTGAACCACGTGTGATGTCAATCATTTACAAGGTCCGACAATAAAGTAATGAGACTGATTTGATTGTGGCCAAGACAAGAAGGCCATATATGAAGCAGAGCATGGAATTCAAAGAGGCAACATTCATCTATGATCTGGAAACTTTTCATCGCCGCCTGATAAGCAGACAGCAAACAAGCTGCCATTTTGTTGACCTAGTCAGATATGCATTGTTATGTAATCAGCATAGAGCGAAAATCTAGTATTAAATTCTGTTTAAATCTCAACAACAACAACAACAACAACCAAAGCAATGTTTCCCCGAATTGATTGCCTGGCATATTTCGCTGTATCTCGTCAGGTGCATACTACAGTAACAAGTGAATAAATGAAGCAAATAGCTGAATCCTAGAAACTGAAACACAAATTCGAGTACATTCTACACTGTCTGTTTCACCAAGGTAACCTTAAGGAAACTACCATTTCTTTTTGCCTACAGAGATCCAGTTAGTGTTAACAGGTTGATCGCGGAAGCTTCCGCGTATCTGAGTAATCTACGGTTGGCCAAATTGTAAATAATTCGAAATGCATCATCCTACGAATCAGGTGACTGGTCGACAAAATCCATCATCAGCAATTGCGTGCCATATTCTAAATTCCGGACACATCATTAACAGGGATGATGCATTTCGACTTATTTACAATTCGGCCAACCGTAGATTACTCAGATACGTAGAAGCTTCCGCGATCAACCGGTTAAAACCTGATTTCTGTAGGCAAAAAGAAATGGTAGTTTCCTTAAGGTTACCTTGGTGAAACAGACAGTGTAGAATCTACTCAAATTTGTGTTTCAGTTTCTAGGATTCAGCTATTTGCTTCATTTATTCACTTGTTACTGTAGTATGCACCTGACGAGATACAGCGAAATATGCCAGGCAACAACAACAACAACAACAACAACAAAACTGCGGAAAAGACACTTAAATTGATGCAACAAGTTTATGGACATCATTGTTCATAGATTTTCAGATGGTATTCACGATTCAAAAGTGGTGTGGGATTGATTACTTATGGAACTAGACATGGACGCCCAGTTTCTATTCCTAATGAGGATTTTACTGCAAAAGTCAGTAGTAGTATTAGTAGTAGTAGTAGTAGTAGTAGTAGTAGTAGTAGTAGTAGTAGTAGTAGTAGTAGTAGTAGTAGTAGTAGTAGTAGTAGTAGTAGTAGTAGACTTTAACCCCACCAGGACATCACACAAGCGATAAACACCCGATGACACAAAGTGCTCCCATGGGGATGAGAATCACAGTGGAGAGGTCCCAGAAACCGCGTTCAGCAATTAGACCATATTTATGGTCAGGCTATTTTGCGGCCCCTGGCAAGAACCAGAGTAGGGCTTCAAATAACGAAAAATTGCATCTCACAAGGAGATCTGGAATAATGCTGCAAAAGTCAGAAAACGGATACAAGAAGATCATTATTTGACTGTGATGATGATGGTAAATAAATTTGGAGTTAATAGAGAGACCAGTTGTAAAATTTAGGTGCAAGATTTGGGGAAGAAAAAAAGTTGCTTGCTGGTTTTTACCTTCTTCATGACAATGCACCGGCTGACCGGGCTGTAGTTGCACCATAATTGTTGGCCCTAAAATAAGTGTGTGTTTTAACCATGCACCCTATTTCCCAGATTTGTCTCCATGTGATTATTTTAGATTCACAAAATTAAAGTTGCATTGAAAGGATGTTTCTTTGACGATATTGATGATATCCAAAGGGCCGTAACATCGGCTTCAATGGCCATAACAACAGAAGAGCTACAGAGGTCGTTCCAGTGTTAGATCGAGCCATTCGCTGTATCAATGCACAATGGGTTTACTTTGAACAAAATACAAGTTAAATCTTCAACTGTTGACAATTGTAATTTTTATGGTATAAGTCTCAATGCGTAATTGTCAGACCTTGTATGAGGCACGTGTTCTTCTGTGGTAAGATGTCAAACAGTACATCTTCTCTCTTGGTCTCCAAGTGTCTCTCTTGGTCTCCAAGTGTCTCTCTTGGTCTCCAGATGTCTCTCTTGGTCTCCAGATGTCTCTCTTGGTCTCCAAGTGTCTTTCTTGGTCTCCAGATGTCTCGCTTTGTCTCCAGATGTTTCTCCTGGTCTCCAGATGTCTCTCCTGGTCTCCAGATGTCTCTCTTCGCCTCCAAGTGTCTCTCCTGGTCTCCAAGTGTCTCTCTTGGTCTCCAGATGTCTCTCCTGGTCTCCAGATGTCTCTCTTCGCCTCCAAGTGTCTCTCCTGGTCTCCAAGTGTCTCTCTTGGTCTCCAGATGTCTCTCTTGGTCTCCAGATGTATCTCCTGGTCTCCATATGTCTCTCCTGGTCTCCAGATGTCTCTCTTGGTCTCCAAGTGTCTCGCTTGGTCTCCAGATGTCTCTCTTGGTCTCCAGATGTCTCTCTTGGTCTCCAGATGTCTCTCCTAGTCTCCAGATGTCTCTCTTCGTTTCCAGATATCTCTCTTGGTCTCCAGATGTCTCTCCTGGTCTCCAGATGTCTCTCTTGGTCTCCAGATGTCTCTCTTGGTCTCCAGATGTCTCTCTTGGTCTCCAGATGTCTCTCTTGGTCTCCAAGTGTCTCTCTTGGTCTCCAAGTGTCTCTCTTGGTCTCCAAGTGTCTCTCTTGGTCTCCAAGTGTCTCTCTTGGTCTCCAGAAGTCTTCCTTGACCTCCAAGTGTCTCTCTTGGTCTCCAGATGCCTCTCTTGGCCTCAAAGTGTCTCTTGGTCTCCAGATGTCTCTCTTGGTCTCCAGATGTCTCTCTTGGTCTCCAAGTGTCTCTTGGTCTCCAGATGTCTCTCTTGGTCTCCAGATGTCTCTCGGTCTCCAAGTGTCTTTCTTGGTCTCCAGATGTCTCGCTTTGTCTCCAGATGTTTCTCCTGGTCTCCAGATGTCTCTCCTGGTCTCCAGATGTCTCTCTTCGCCTCCAAGT